AATCCTAGCCATGACATTTACTGTGTGAGCTTGGGCAAGTTATTTAACTTCTCTTGTCTAACCTCTCTTGTCTTAGGTTTCACAATACACCTCATAAACATACACATACAAACACACCATATTCACACATCACACAAGGGTGTTGTTTGTTGTTGTTATGTGCTGTTGAGTCAGACCTGACTCATAGCGAGCCCTCCTTGGGTTTCCAAGGCAGTATCACTATGGAAGTAGATTACCCCATCTTCCTTCCGAGGAGTGGCTGGTGGGTTTGAACAACCAACCTTCTGGTTAGTAGTTAAGTGCTTTAGGCACTATGCTACCAGAGGGTACACTGTACCTATCAATGATTGGATTCTTCCAATATACCAAATCTCAATTTAAATTCTATCCCTCAGAGAGTTCTCTAATAACTGTACTTAATAGCTCCTCACCTCCAGCCCATTGTATTCTACAATTGCAGTCAATTGCTTTATTTCATGACCTTTAACCAAAATTGTACTTAGGTACTTTTGAAAAATCTACTTAGTAAGTATGAACCTCCGTTATCAAACTATAACCTTCATTAGTACAGAACTTATGCTCATTTGCTTACTACTGAGAGATCTGTTGGCATAGGGCCTGAGGTATTTGACTGCTAACCAGAAGGCTGGTGGTTCAAACCCACTAGCCACTCCTTGGAAGGAAGATTGGGCAATCTACTTCTGCAGAAACACTGCCTCAGAAACCCAAGGAGGGTTTCCTACAAGTTGGGATCAACTCAACAGCAGTGAGTTTGGTTTTTGGTTTGGTGTATCCTGAACTCACTACAATACTTGACATAGTACAGGCACTTAGGAAATATTTTCAGAAAGAAATAATTAATTTGCTCTTTTCTAGCAGCTCACTTCAAAAACGTTTGTCTGTTAGGATCCTTCCCAATGTAGTTTATACTTCTTACATTCAGATAAAGGAGTTCTGGTGGTCAAATCATTCAGCTGCTAAGAAGAAGGTCTGCAGTTTAAACCCATCAGCTACTCCATGGGACAAAGATGAGGCAATTTGCTTTCATAAAGATTTACAACCTTGGAAACCCTATAGGGCAGTTCTGTTCCGCTAAAGGGTCTCTATGAGTCAGTACCAACTCTATGGCAGTGAGTAGGTATACTCAGATAATTCTTTAAAAAAATCTTGTTACAAAGTGTAATAATTATCACTTTATACCATTATATTCTATCATTTATTATGTCAGAATTATATACATAATTAACTGACTTGCAAACATAGGGTGATAATGAATTTTAGTCCAAAGAGCCATTCATATGTCTTAAAACACATACTCAGCAATTTTCTCAACCCTGTCCACCAAAATATGTAAAATATATATCTACCTGAAGGAAAGAGAGAATGCTTCAAGGAGTTTGGGAATAAAAGGTTTATGGTAATCCATAAATTTCTTTGAAATTGTATGTTTTATCCTAATAACTTAAGGTCATTTGGTAAATATTTCAAACATATATTGAAAAGGCTGATTTTATCAGAGAAAAGCACACAAAAATAAAGAATTTCTTCCTGGCTTCTTGTTTTGATCACACAATGGAATTTAAGCCTTTGGGTCATTTGCCACTCCATAATAATGAAATAGAAATGTAATTAAATAAAATAACAATATAATATAAACTATAAATAAAACTGCATGTTGTATAAACAGTATAACATGTAATATAAATATAATAAAATGTCATGATAAAACCCATATATTAAGGAAGCTTCCAAGCATACCATACATGCACTTTGTAACTTCTATTTGTGTCATAGGAGAAGCTCTGGTGCTGTAGTGCCTAAGCCATTTGACTGCTCACCAGAAGGCTGGTGGTTCAAACCCACCAGCTACTCCTCGGAAGGAAGGTTGGGCAATCTACTTCCATAGAGGTACTGCCTGAGAAACCCAAGGAGGGGTTGCTATGAGTCGAATTGACTCGATGGTAGTGAGGTTTTCTGTTTTTTTATTTTTATTTTTATTTTTATTTTTTTAGTGATATTTTATGCTCTGATATATCCTCTAATTTAGAAAGAAATCACTTAGCTGCCGAGTTCTTCAAGATTTCAGGTTATTCTCAATTTCTCTTTTTATGTATATACATCTTTACTATTTTCATAATATACTTTCAAATAGCTGTTTTTTAACCATAATGTTCTCACAAGATAATATATTTGGAGAATTACTGAACTCTAAAAAGAAACATGACTTGAAAACAACCCTGAGATCTCATGTTCCCTCTCTCTCTCTCTCTCTCTCTCTCACACACACACACACACAAACATGGTCTTTCCCTCACATTCAAAATGTTGGGAGGCAAGGAGATAAGGTCTTGTAAACAAACAATTTAAATACGCCTGTTTCCCTTAGGAAGTTGAACTAAGTTGTAAGATTCAGTGCTTTTTTGTGTAATAAAAAGTTAAAAAGACAATCAAACAGAAAACTGGTTCTAATAGGGCCAAACTTGTTTTTTCCTCATTAGCTGAGTAACCCCTCTAGATGTATAAATAAATCACTCTATTGGTTTTTGCTCTGGCCGATGAGAACTGACCTTGTGGAAGTATTATTGGAATAATCCATTCTCCTGCTAACAGTGCACAACATCACTTTTACGTGACTGTGGGCTAATAACACCAGGTCCCCCAGTAGCACCGAAGTATCAAATTTTCCTATCACTTACTAGACAAAAACATGTTTCTGTTCTCTAAAAAAGCTAAAACTAAACACCACCATACACACACATACACACACACCCCTCACTGAGTTTTACCAAAACGGTATTTTTTATTTACATTTGCATGCATATGACAAATATTTTTAAGCTTACAAGTTGAAGGTTTATTCCCCATATCCTTTAGTAAAAGTAACAGCCCAGGAAAGAGCATCTTGTTTACTTTTAGCACCCAATCATATAACTAGGAGCTCTGGTGGCCTAGTGCCTAAGGAACTAGAAGGTTGGTGGTTCAAACCCACCAGCCACTCCTCAGAAGGAAGGTTGGGCAATCTGCTTCCGTAGTGATACTGCCTCTGAAATTCAAGGAGGGTCACTATAAGTCGGATTCAACTCAACAACAGTGAGTTGTTGTTTTTTTTTTTCTGTAATCATGTAACTGTTGCAGACCCAGTGACCCAAGCAGCCTGTTTCTGAGTACCATAATATAATAATAACTGTTTTTCCTTTCTTGTGGTAAGATACATACTTCTCCAGGAAAGTTACCTGTGAGTTTTAATACAAAATGAATGAATGTTAAGCAATACAATAGAAGCCTGCAATAATATATTCCTTAATAATGAAAATCTGAATGCAAAGCAATTGGTAATCAATTCCTAGAACTAGAGAATGCCCTACTGTCTCTTCCTGGTCACTTCAGGAGCCATAGAGTCACATGAGTTCCCGTACTTCACATGTTTCATGTAAGTGTGGTAATGTCATGATATCTGGCTAGTCCTATGATTTCTATTTATTAGTTACTAAAAATAGCCGTGGTCCAGTTTGGCAGCCTCTGTTCTCCTTTTTCAAGGTCCTTCCCCCCTCCTTTTTTTCTCCCCATGTGCTAATATTCCCTGGATAGAGAAGCATTCTCACTGATGCCATCCAGTCCAGCCTGCTTTCTCCAGAAAATGTCCCACCTTGACAGTCTCTCACGTAAGCCTACCTACTACCACTGCATTTTCAAGGGCAATGTTTTCAGCTTATCATTACACAAGGAAAGTCTTGAAATCTCATTCGCTTTAAGTTGTTAATAGCTCAGAGAAATTAGTTTGTTACCCCATATACACACATGCCCCAGGAAATTTGCATTTTAATAGAGGACAATTCCTTCATAATTCAAAGGAATAAAATGTCTCTAATGCTGGAATTTCAAGCATCACTGACACCAGTAGAGGAAATATTTGGGGTAAGGATACTTATCAGGGAGCCATAATATTGAGATGACTCTTTTACATCTAAACTTAAGCCTCACTGGAATAGAAGCCAATATTCATGTTTGAACAAGAATATAACAAACTTAAAACAAAAATCTAAGTTGTCAAAATGGTAAACAACCCTGTTTCTTAAAGCGATGCATTACTGTCTCTGTTTTTTATCTCTCCAAAATGGTGCTATTGTAGTTCTTCTCCATTTCATTATGTCTGTACAAGGACAGATTGAAGTACCTATACCCAGTTTGTGTGTGTTGTCCTAAGATTATTTCATGAAACAAAACACCTTGAACATAATGCAGGGGAACAAAGAAAGTACAATACCTTTTTTTTTCACATCCATGACAGTTTCCTTCTCAGTTTTCTTTTTCACATCTTCTTTTTCTGATAGTAAAATAAGAAAAATTGTTAAGTGCCTACAAATTCAAAACATGTTTAATTCTTATATATTTCAAGTATACATGACTGCCAGTAAAGCATCATTAATCTTATATAAAGAAATATATACCACAAATGGAATGCTTGAACAAAAAGAAATTTATTCTTGTACTATTTTGGAGGATTTACCTCCGAGTTCAAAGTGCCGGGATCTAGGGGCTGGGTGAAAGCCCCTCAATCTTGGGCTTCAGCTCTGCCTCCTGCTCCCAGCCCACTGAGCTAGCAGCTTTTCTTCACTCAGACAGCTGCTGGCTGCTGAGACTGACAAGCCCAAGGTTGATAAGTAAAAAAGCACAGTCCTGATATTACCAAACCACATGGCAGGCCATTAATTCAAATCCATTAAAGCCCCAAGGCCAGCAGAGCATAGCAGGCTGCTGAACAACAACATGACTACATGCAGGGTTCAAACGTGTCTTAAGCTAGAGACTGTTTCCCAAGGCTTCTCCTTATGTACAGGAAGCAGGCCACAGCCCTAAGGCAGCTACTCAGCTGCTGACAGTAGATTCCACCACAGAGCTGGTTGCCAGTCTCATCATGAGGAATACTACATCCAGCTGCCCAGCCACTCACCCAGGCCCAGCCAAGTTGACACACAAACTCAACTACCACAGATACTGATCTATTTATGTTTTAAACAGCTTTTCAACTCCTTGCCTTTCTTTTTTGTTTCAGAAGTCACTTTCTTCTCAGATTTCTTCTTCTCCTCTTCCTTTTCTAGAGAAGAAATTTAAAATATTTATTTAGGAAAGGTTAGTACAAGAGGAAAGCCAAGGCTGCAATAAAGGGCTTGTTAAGTCAGTTTAACTGACTCGTGTTAAGTCAGTTCTGTTTCCAGATAGTTTTGGGCTTTGAGCAAACTATTTAATCTCTCTACATCTTATTTTTCTCACCTGTGAAATAATAGCATATCCCTCAAAGTTAGAAAATGTTTACTAATTATTCCACATGGTGCCTGGCTCACAGTAAGCTGCTAACTGCTAACTTTTTATTCTTGACAAAATAATGAAGAATCTAGTTTGAGCTATCTCACTCAAACAATTGTTTGTATACTGCCTAAAAATACAAATATAGAAAAATAAAAGACAATTTCCTAGGAAATATAGTATGTTGTTGTTGTTATTTGCCGTGGAGTTGGCCCCAACTCATAGCGACCTCTCCTTGGGTTTCCGAGGCAGTATCACTACGGAAGTAGGATTGCCCAACCTTCCTTCCGAGGAGTGGCTGGTGGGTTTGAACTGCCAGCCTTCTGGTTAGCAGTCAAGTGCCTTAGGCACTATGCTACCAGAGCTCCTTAGGTAAGCTAAAATATTCTATATTTTTCTTTTGTTTTCATATGTTCACTATCATTAGAAATAATAGACTAGTCTTTAACTTTATTTTGATTGAACTGTTTTTTTTGTTTGTTTGTTTGTTTTTACTCTGCTGATTATCAACAGGCATTTCAGGTCTGGTGACATTTGTCTGGCAGTGTGTTGAGGACATAACTTTCACTGCCCTTTCTGAGTGGTTTTTCAATGAGGGCACAGACTATCTTTGAACCCAGAGGTTGCAATGAGTCTGGGTGTTGTGTCGAACACTGAGGAGGACCCTAGATTTCTTCATGAAAGATTTCCATTTCAGACGTCTGTGGAAGCCTTGGCCTGAGAGGAAAGTAGGAACTTTGAGTGCCTCCCAGCCATACCCATCTAACAAGTGAACATCGCTGGACTCATTTCTGGTAAGTGTAGTCATTTCAAATAACAAAGTCATGTAGACGTGCATAGCCTCCTCAAAGGAGAGTCATGAATAAGAGTAGAAATTCAATGAGGAGTTCTGCTATGAACACTTAAGTTGTCTAATGACTGCATCTAATTAAATGTAGGAATTAATTCATTCCCTTAGGTATAGAGCTTTTTTTGCCTATAAGATCAAAGACAACACTTTCTTTCAGTGTTAGAGGTATAATTTGTGAACGAATCCCTTTCATAGTCCTGGAGATAGTCTAGTGTCATAGAAATATATTCACACTTTGTCTAAAAGTGTCTATTGTGTATTATGACAGCTCATCCAATCAGAAGTAGAAAGTCAAGAAATCAAATTTTGATAGTTTTAAATTTGGAAAAGAACTAATTGACCGCCACTTTGTCTTTTACATATTTGTGCATATTAAATATGCATATCTTGTCTAAAACTCTGAATAAAAACTTTTTGGGGAAATTTTATATACCAGAGTATTTTCCATTTTAACCTAAATTTATATGTCAATAAATTGAAGTACCCTTTGCTAAATGTCATCCTCTAATGTTATGAACCAGAAAAGGGGTTAATTAAAACATAGATGATTTGTAACTATTTTAAGCCCATACCAAGAATCAATATGATGGTCAGGATAAGATCACAACCCTGTATCTAAGTCTCTAAGTTTCATAATGTAGATGAATAAACATTTCATTTAAGAGTTTAAGTCTGTGTCAATTAGTTAATCTGACATGAAATTTCAGAATGAAATCAAATATTTGAGGTCATAAGATGGAAGTCTTTTTTTTTTTTTCATTTTTTTAGAAAGAAGATGCTCTTGTGTAATAAATTCTACACTTTAAATTAATATGGCTGGACTTTCATTGTGGCGATACAATATTCTTGCCTTAGTTCACATTGAATTAATGCTTCCATTATACACTCTGCCTGTGATTATGGCCATGCACTGAGTCATGAATAAAAGCAGGAGTCCACAAAAAGTCAGTATAAATAATGTACTTTAATAACATTTTTATGAATTAGACCTTTAAGATGTCATTGTGGGACTTATTTTATTCATGGTGAATTTCACTTAAAACATCAAGTTCTAAAGATTCCCCATTTTGTCAAGTGCTACTGTTTCTACTCTATAGGTGATTTGGCAGCAGCAGAATTAGGTTTTTCATTTTTAAAAGATGAAGATTAAATTATATCCTACTTGGGTATAAAAGTAACCCACGTTGCTTTTTTGAACACTCTCCTTCCTCTCACTTGTTTTTACTCCCACAAAATGAACAAAAAATATTCTTCCCTTTTCACTGACTGTGCTCCCACATATACAATATCCTCTCTACCACTTCTTCAACATTTTTTGCTGTTTTGCTTGCAACAGCTAGAGAAGAGTTAGGGCATTTAATACCTTCAGTTTTCTGAGGGTTAGCAATTAAGCAAGTCTTTATGAAGAAAACTTAACAGCTTATTGCCTTTCTCTGGCAAAAATGTCATAAGCTGTAAAATGATGGCCCGCCTGGCAAGAATCACAGGAAAACCTGGTTGGGAGAGAAATTCTCTCTACAATTGGCACCCTGAGCAACAAATATGTTACTAACTTCTGCATAAATTAACATCAGATGAAAGAAAAGTGACTTACTTTTTACTTCCTAAATCCTTACAATGTGCTTTTCTCTTCCTTTTAAATGTTTTTTTATGCTATCTCAAAGCCAGGGAATATACAACAATTAATTATAATTGTAATGCTTTTTAAGATGTTTGATCCTCGCAGAACAAGAAAACAAATGCAAAGTGTTACAATTTCATTTTACGTTTTGTTGTCTCTTTTTTACCTTTCTAGTGTAGGGATTATCCAAATTCAGCCTATCAGATGACTGCTTTTCTTCTAAAACTCTACAGCCTGATGTAGTCTTGGTTCCAGTCAGATATATAAAGACCTGTTTCTTTCATAACAATACATTTCAAAACTTCTCATCACTGTCACCTTGTTTCTCTAGAGTGGCAGAGCTTGGCGTGGACCCCAGCTTATGGTATGATTATGGAAATTTTCACGTAAGCAGATAAGTTCAATTACATGAGTAATTATTAGAGTTATCCTATGCTTATCTAAAGATGAGCACAGGACAAAGGAGAAAGCATGTATGTGAGCGGCAATGACCTTGATTTGAATTCGTTTCTGGTAGTGTGACATTGGGTAATATGCTGACAAACTGAATTTTGTTTTACTAATTTAGAAACTAACTAATAACACCTACCTTGCTTGGTTTATTGTGTGGAATGGATGTTTCCAAAGTACCAGACACAGAGTAGCTTTCAAAAATTAATTATAGTTATGATCAGCTATTACTATATTTCAGAAACAATAACAATCTGACTATGTACAATTGTCAGCAATTTTTCTAGGACTTACATTTGTTGGTCTATTGGAATGAAAACAAATGGTTTCTTAATATTCTGTATCCAGGAAGTCTTTGTCTGGAATAGTTGTACTGAGCAACTTTGGAAAAAAATGTATCTGAGGAAGAGCTAGCATGTTGTGAGGGAAAACTATCCTGGAATGATGGAGAAATGGATTTCTGTTGCAGTTTTGCTATAAATAGGAGTCACTGGCTTATGCAACTAGGTAAATCATAAAGCTTCTCATGACAACCATAAAAGGCAGAGGAATGAGTAGAGTGTCTTTGAGTTACCTTTCTCCTACTGATTTATTCTTTTCTCAATTATTTTTGATTACCTGTTATGACCAGAAGGCTGGCAGTTCAAACCCACCAGCCACTCCTCAGAAGGAAGATGGGGCAATCTACTTCCATAGTGATATTGCCTCAGAAACCCAAGGAGGGGTAGCTGAGAGTTGGGTCCGATTCCACGGCACTTAACAACAACAACAAACAAGCCTGTTATGAGTCATTTTGCATTTATTTTCTACTTCTGCTGGAGACAGGTAACTTAAAACAACTTTAGAGTTATACATAGCTACTGTATATTCTCTAGTTTTGAAATGGCTTAAAAATTTAAGGCAAGAGAATATTCCATTATAAAGACTTAGGAATGGATATGTATATATGTTAGGTGATGATAAGTGTCAGAAAAAAAATCCTAATTTCAATTATTAGAGCATGATAGAGTAGGGGAACATTGTCTTTTAAAGATGGATCACAGGTAAAACTTTCTGAATAATTAAAATTTGAGAAGATTCTTGAAAAAAGTGAGATAGTTTGGGATATTGGGGAGAAAATTTTAAAGGCAATATAAAAATATTAACTTGTTATAAATTAAGATCTTACTTGTATCCTGAGGGAAACTGCTAAGAAAATAGCTGAAAACATATAGAGTACGCGAAATGACAAAAGAATTAAAATGGTCTAATAGAAAGAAAGAATTTACCACAAAACATGGCATAAACAGACAGACAGATAGATGATAGATAGATGTTTGGTATCTAGTTGACTACAATTTGTAGACCTTATGTACAACAGAACAAATCATTGCCAGGTTCTGCATTATCCTCACAATTTTCAACATGCTCAAGTCCTTTGTTTCAGGTTTTGTGCCAATCCAGCTCACTGGGGGGCTTTTAAATGAAGAAAATAAAATTCAGTGTGTCAGCATGTCATCCAGTGTCACACAACCAGAAAGGAATTGAAATCAAGGTCACTGATGCTCACATCCATCCTTTCTCCTTACCTCCTCCAGCAATTGCTCCCTCCTGGTGATGTGTCCAAAGATAATTTATCAGACAATGTTGTATTATAATCCATAAAATATTCAATGGCTAACTTTTGGAAGTAGATCACCAGGCCTTTTTCCCTTGGATGTTTTAATCTAAAGCTTCACTAAAAGCTATCCACAGTGGGTCATCTTGCTAGTGTTTGAAATACCAGTCATATAGCTATCAGCCTCGCAGCAACACAGAAGCCACAAAAGTATGACAGGTGGACAGGTGACAAACTGAAAGACAGGTGATAGAATGGAGGAATAAAGGAACA